AGACTGAGAGCTTGTGGGGTTTGAGAGCTTCAAATGATGTGAATTCTGGGGGAACAAAAGCACAATCACCATCTGCTTGCAGGACGCAAGGTTCAAAGCAGCGTGCAGGGACTTTGGATGTTTCACAGTAACTTAGCAACTTATTTGCAAGAATTGTCTGTGGGCTCTCATGCTCATTCCCTGCACCTAGTTGACCAATACCCCCAAAACACACAACCTTGGGTAAGTTTTGTGTAATGAATGAGCGCTTGAAACAACCATAAAGTACTGGCGATAGGTGCCTTTTTTTTTCAATTTTACTTCGTTCGTCAACTGGGATAGTTGAGAGATGTATCGTCAACGCCATTAACATCGCGCCTCTGTCTGTAATACAAAGTTCGTCGCTAATACAATGTCTGTTTACGTGCTCTCGGTGTATTCCTACGTTACTTCTTTAATTAGAAGATGCCACCTATGCAAAGAGAACAATGAGAACAAGTCTTCTAATCACCAGAAATGGACGTTTGTGAACGCACCCTTCAAATGAAATTTCGACAAATAGGAGACGGCAAGCGTTCGAATTCTGCCCGGCCCATCCTCCATCGTGCTGGGCAAACACATCAAAATATCCTCCGCAAGTTTTCGATGCTCCACTGAGAAAACTTGTTTGCTTTTCTGCCCATTCCGCCCTTTCCGGCACTTGAAGGGACTCCTTAAATCCGAAATCGCCTCGAACATGTTCAAGCACAACCGCGTCCCACATACTGATGATTGCTGACCGTATAATCGGGGCACAGGTTCGTCCACGGCGGTGAAGTGGGGGCAGCGAACGCTGCGGTGGTCGGAGGGGCGGGCTAGTTGGAACTTTGTCTGTGGCACCAATCAAAGGACCTGCGATGAATGGCGGAGGTACGAAGGTGGGGATTGAGATTCCACAATGCGACGCTGTTGAAGAATCCTTTCTCGGCGGCATAAATGAACGAGATCTCTGGCGCGATAGCACTCATGGTGCCAGGGAGTGATTGTTGGTGCTGGGGTCTTGCTTCCGAAGTCAGCCAAGGAAGCTAAAATTGAGTCCTCTATGCAGGAAGGGCGGTTTCAAGCCAAAATGCCAGAAGCGTAATAGCTGGACTTGCGCAGTGGTGCGAGGTGGAAACCGACAGTCGCAAAGAAAACGATGTTGTGCATCTTGCAGCGCGTGGGCCACCGAGTTAAGACTCCCAGGGAACAATCACGACATTTCAGGTGCAAGTTGCGGTGCTCCGCGCTCACAGGATATGGTTATTCCGCACAAGGAAAAGAAACAAAAGATAGAAAAACATAGCAAACACTATGATTACTTTTAATGCTCAAAATGTTATTCAGAAGTGTATTGGCAGGTGTTCAGCAATCTGTGGGCCGACACCACCGGACTCTCCAGGAAAGAGCACTCGACAAAGATATTTTGGAATTGACCAAGACCGCTTTCCATCAAAGACTTGAATATTTTTGGCGTTATAGGCGATAACGTGAAGTGGCATTCCGCCTTGTTCTTTGCCTTCGACTCTGTCAGCACTTGATGCCTCTTCGAATCTCGAATCTTTGCGGGTCCGGGCGACGGTGGAAGCAGATTGCGAATTGGCATCTGCTGCCGGCTCGGCATTGGTGTGGGGAAGCCCCCTCGGTGGAGCGGCGAATGATCCGAGGCGGGGTGGGTTATTGGGGGTCTCGAGAACGTTGCCTGCTTAGTTGTTCCGATCAGGAACTTCAGGTAAGCCAACAAGAGCAAAAAGGACGACCGCTTACGTGCTCGCTCGGCCATCCTTTCTGGGTTTCAATGGTTGTCTCAATTATCCACGTGTCCAGTCCGTGCAGTCAGGAGACCTCAAAGGACACTCGGGGCATTTTCCGGGATGTGTTTTGCACCAATACCAACGCCGCCTCCGTCTTGATTTCCACGCAAACAAAGCTCCTTAGCTTAAAGAGATACTTTACAGTGCAATCTAGACGTTGTTGTTCCACACGTTCGATTCCCGGTTAAACGATGCCAACCATTCAAGGTAAAGTTTAATTTCCAAGGTTCTTGGGAAACAAGTGCTGCGAAGAAGGAGTTGACGTGATGCACCGAAGGATGCAGACAGGGAGCGGTCCAGAACGGTCTAAAACATTATTCTCCCGCTTTTTTTTCTCTGGCTTTTCCTTCTTTCTCCCGTGTGGAATGGACCGGGAGTTCAAAAGGATACCACAGCGCCATACAAAATTCGGTGGTGATATGCTCATGGTTGCTCCGAATGTGCGTCTTTCCTTCAACTCGCAGATCCTCTGTTGCCAAATCCTTTTCAAATCACACACAGGCGTCGCTTTTGCACTGTTGTATGACGATATTGTGTAAACAAATTGGTATGAAAAAGTGTCGTAACTTGGTCGTTTTCATGCGCACTCTGCAACTCGATCAACCTGTTTCAATGCTCTCTGGAATTCGCGAGGGACACGGTGATTGCTTTTTAGTAACCCTTCATACGTGCTGCTCAAGACTAGGTTTCAGGATCCTGCAACTCATCGGAGACAGTTGGGAATGCTTGGCATTAATGCAGTGGTTTTGACATCTTTAAGCTCCATAGTATGTTTGAAGTAGTAGTTTTGAATGCGTTTTGCGTCTCAGGATAGTCGATAAATGGACAATCGAGGTTGTTCATTTCTCCCCTTCAACTGTTTCACTACAATTCTTACACGTGACTGAACGCCTGTGACGGTATTGTCACTGAAGAGTATGGGTCAGTGTTAGGATAGGGTAGAACAAGTGTATATTGGTTGGATTGGTCTTTTTCTACCCTGCTAGCTGGGGACTTAAATTGTGCGGAACCCGATAGCGGCGTCGTGCCTCAGGGTCCGCCCACGGCGGACGCCCCACGGTCCGTCTCTGCCTGATATCGGCGTAGAGCGGCACAGCTGTGACCCTACTCATCGCGGTAGTGTCAATACTGCGACACCCGCCACCTACATTAGGGCGGACGTCCGCGTCAGCCCAGGCGCTAGTTAAAAAAAAAAAAAAAATCGTGGGAGAAAATACCCATTAGCTTCAGGTGAAGGAAAAAATAACCTTTGAAATCATCATGCGATGTGGAAAAAATAAAACCCACGCTTCGGGATGGGGAAAAAATAAACCAGTACGGTGCAAGGATACTTGTCACCAGCCTTCGGTGAAGGGTAAAAAAAACCTACAAGTATCTTCGTTGTGGGAAAAAAATAAACCACTCTTTATGAAAACGAAAAAATAAACCTCTTCCGAGCATGTAGTATCTGTATACTCCCAGCTCATGCTTCGTTAAGGGGAAAACCGAGAAAACCCTTCACTTCTCATGACGACTTGACATAAAAGCCAGTTAAGACTGTAAATGTCGCATGTTTAATCAGCCGTCCTCTTCTAGAGCAGACTTCAGTCTGCTTAGGTTGCTTTTGCTCGGTGCTCGCAACCGCTTCTTTGGCCTTTTGGGCCCTCTCCTGCTTTGCCTTCCAAGCTGCTCTTCCTGATTTCAGTTTTGCAGCTTCAGCTGGAAAGCGGCGCTGGAACTCTTTAATCATGTCCATGCCTTCAATTTTGTCGTCACGGATCCATTCAGGTTCGTCGTTGCCACCAAACTTGACAAGGTGTTCTACCATGTTGTTTTTCATACGACCCATCAGAATGGATTCCATATCGTAGCTAGCTTCGTCTTCGGCAGAGGTTGCTACTGGTGTCGGATAATCCCTTTTGGGAGTTGTCCGACCGTCAGATCTATGAGTCAATAATCTGCCCATGCAATGCAACTGCCTTTTCTTCATCGTGCACGTACGGCTTCATTTTGCTTAGCCCGTTTACGTGCGCCTTAATTATCTTGCCTGTGCGGAAGTGTTCAAGTTCGAATGTAACTTCCGTCACCTTCCCCACCACCCGGAAAGGTCCAATCCACTTGGAGAGAAACTTTGTGCTTTCCCCCTTGGGGTGTGCTTCGTCGGAATGAACCATAACTGTAGAGTCTGGGTCAAACGTCACATTGACGTGGCTTTGGTCATACTTCATCGTCCGCTCCTGCGCTGCCTTAGTCAGTCGCTCTTGCAGAATTTCATGCATCTCAGATATAAAGTCCGCCCTAGGCATGACATTGACGTTGTCATTACTGACTTCAACGCCCGTAATAATATCTGTCGGCAAGCGTGGTTTGATGCCCGTTGCCGCAAACAATCGTGCAAAGCCCGTCGTCGAATGCATCCTAGCATTGTATGCAAACTGAATAGATCGCAAATGCTTATCCCAGTCGGTATGCTTTGCCGAATCTGAGAGTACAATGCGTCTCCCATTGGTTTCATAAACTGCTCGCGTAAGGGTTCCCTGCAGGATGACCCGGCGATGTAAACGTATGTTTTATGCGTAACATTGACGCCAACTGCTTCATTACTTCATTTGCGGACGTGGACCCACTATCGGAGTGGATACGGAGTGGAACTCCCCATCGGTATACCCACTGGTTCAGCAAGCGTAAATGCTGTTGTGAACGGCGACATGTCTGGTACCACTACAATTTCTACTACTCAAGTGAACATATCCATGATCACTAGAATACACTCATTTCTGTCTTCGCTCTTTGGAAATGGGCCTGCGTGGTCAAGGCAGATATCGTCAAATGGCGGTGATGCTCGGAAATCGAACGGTTTCAAGTTCCACAATCCATTCTGGTGGTAGAATTTTCTGCAACTCATGCAAGGTCCAGGTCCAGAGGTGATGTAAAAAACATTAGAATACAATACAAATGCCCCACATATTTTTGCTGCAGTTTTGAACACTGAAGTGACAATGGAGACTGGAATGGAGACTGGAGAGGGGCTGACCATTCATTGAATCATTTGTGAGGAAACGTGAGAGATGCGCGAATCGAGGAAGATGTATAGGACGGTTGAGGAGGGCGATAGATCACTGAGGGGCCGACGCAGGTTGGGTCGATGAGACATATGTAAACTAATTGACTTTATATAGCAAATTATAACTCACCTCATAACCACTATTGGGGATGATGGTCCAAGGGTAAGATTCTCGCTTCGGGTGCGAGAGGCTCCGGGTTCGAGTCCCGGTCGTCCCCCATCTTTTTGCCCGCTTACCATCCGTGGTTGAGGTTGCATTGAGTGGTATTTTGGCTTTTTCCTGTCAGAGAGCATTGTTCAGGGAACACTCATGTGCATTTTATGCACTTGTACTTTGTGTACAGCCAAGGCGTCGGTTCCTAGCTTGCTCGCCTTGCGCCAGGTAACATGGACTTTGGAAAATTGACATCAGATGTTTTCTGTGATCCTACACCTTCAAGAACGCTTCGGTTTTAAGGCGGTCTACTTTTCCTCATGACCGTGCAGATGCATGTTGGATCTTATTAGGCACAAAGATGGTAATAATCAGACGATCTTGTCGGAATAACTTGCTTCATTGCAGAATTGGGGACGACGTTACTGTAATAAGCGTCTTTCCAAAGGTGTTCAGAAAAGACTGAACTGAACATCGCGTCTTAGCCATTGCACTCGAGTCTATTTTGTTCGTGCGGGGACTGATTGTTTTCAGTTAGTTAAAAAAATCGCCATTCTCCATAACGGGAGAGACCATGAATGGTCGCGCGACACTAATGCAGGCGCCCGTGAGCTCCAATACGTTCGTGTGTCGAAACAGCCTCCAAGTGGTAACTTCCTGAATGAAGCCCTAAACCGAGCGAAATAATTGAATTTAACTCTATGCAATTTGCTGTCCGCCGGAAATCGGTCTCGTCTCGTCCGTGATGCCAAGATTGCTGGAGTACGCATCTTCGCCGGGACTCACACTATCGCCGACATCCACATCGGAGCGGAGGACTTTCACCGCACCGGGATGTCGCCTAATCAAGAGTGTCCCGAGGTACACGTTTCCATACCCCCCCCGCTCCCAAGAGCTGGTCGCTGACTTGAATGTGTTGGGGGTTGAGTTCCCATTCCAACTTTTCCCATTGAGACGTCGCAGCATCAGCATCGTTGGACTTCACCGAGGTTGCCGAAGCTAGCATCCGGCGATGGGGACTCCAGGGATTGAGATTGCGGCAGTGTAGATTTGGTGTCTAGTGCAGAAGGGCAATGAGGGAAGCCGATGAGACGATGTTGATACCCAGCACGCGTCCTGATGTCCTCGCCCCAATTTTCGGTACTAATGGATCTAGGTTTGTTTCGGAGAATCACCGTTCCACCCGTAAGTACGTGCTTGCTTACGGGCGTTTTCATAGTTTACCAACAGTATTTCCACAAGAGACGGAGGTCATCGACCTTGACTGCGAAGATATGCTTCTACTCTACTTTCACCCCCCTCGCAACGGCGCCTCGTTGTTCTTGGAGGCTTTCGGTCATGTATTGCAAGTCATTTATGTCCATTGGAATCGCCCTCGAAGCAAATACAGCTACGCCGACCACAAAAACTAACGTTGAGACGGACGCCCTGAACAATCGCTCCGGAGTTTATTTTGCTTTATACGAGTGTATGAATGTCTTCGCGTCAGTTCCGGACTCCCTACTCCTCAATCGAACCATTCAACTTCATTCGGGCGACTGGCTCTTCTTCACCCTCCACATCGCTTCACAAAGTAAGCGTGTGCGCAAAACGTGCATCTCGACAACTGTACCCCACGCAAAAGGGGGCTGGGAGAGAGAGGGAGCAACAACTGCAGCGAGGATCCTCATCATCCCTGAACATGGTGGCACACTGTACATAAGTGACGCCGAGCCTCTGCACCGCGGTCTCGAGAGCCGTCAGCGGGAGTGGTCATCGAAACCTCGCGGAGATGCGCCCGCTGCGTTCCTGTGGTAAATTGTGCGTGTTGCCCAGCACGTTCGGTTAATCGGTTGAACTGTTTCTCCTCAACCTTTTCGGTCCCGGGAAAGGGTCAAAGGACTCTGGTGGCGTAGCGTCTCCCGTTGTCAACCCGGGGGGATTGATGTTTCGGGTGTGTCCAGGACCTTTAAAAGTCCCACGAATGATTCACATTCATTCGAGCCATCGAAAACATCCTCCTCCCCCACCAGTCTCCACCTTCACTCAACCACAACGCATCAAATGGACGGCAAGGGAGAAATGAAGATCATCTGGCCCGAGGAAGCCAAGGTCAAGCTCGACTACTCGCAGACTATCGGGGTACGTGTCCTTCGTGTGCGCGCTCTATGGTGATAATTGCTTCATCGTCATTCGGAACTTCCTTCCCCCCTCGAATGGAAACAGAACACCGCCCCTGCAGGTCTTTGGGGATTTGCGATAGTGCTCACAATGCTTGGTGCAATCAACGCGGGGCTTGTCGGTACGTCGTCACGTTCACGTTTCGTCGCGCTCGTTCAGTCTCCAACAAACATGATCCTCGCAGACCCCGATTTCGGCCCCATTGTGTGGTCCTACTTCTTGGCGATTGGAAGCTCTTTCATCCCACTCGGATACCTTGAATTCTCTCGAGTGAGCGACTCTCTTACAAGTGCGGGTGATGATGACGGGGCGCTAATGCGACGTGTTGATTTGGGCAGAACAACATCCTCACCGGAACGATCCTCTTCACCTATGGACCTTTCGGAGCTGGAATGGCGATTTTCCAACTCCTGGCCTACTCTGGAGCAATCAAACCTGGTGAGCCTTGTCTTCTCTTTGCAGATCTCATGTCTTGTCGGGATCGTTCTGACACCACCTTCGCATCCAAAAGGCAACCTCTCCGCCGGCCTCGTTACCCTTTTCACACTTTACGCCTTCGTCTCGTTCCTCTTCCTCTGCGTCGCCATCCGCTTCAATGTTGCAATGTGCTCCACCTTTGTCGGTGTCATCCTGCTCTTGCTCTGCCTCGCTGGCTCGTCCTACGGAAGCGTGGGCGCCACCAGGGCTTCTGGATGGCTCTCGCTCATTACGGCTGCAACGGCATTCTACGGAGGTGAGAACTGTCTGTTGGCCATCAAACGATGTTCGTATTTCAGATCGAGTCTACTTTCATAATCGCCAGGTTCTGCACCCTTCATCAACGAGCTCTGGGGTCGCGAAGTCCTTCCCGCCGGAGACCTCACCTGGGTCTGGGCCGGCAAGCAGCACGGCCGCAACCGATTGGCGTCCGTCGCCGAGTCCAAGGCCGAGCGGGAGACTTTGTCCGTTTGAGAAGCACAGTTTTTTTTAATTCACAATTTCAAGGATTAAATTTTTGATGATGGGATTGTATGTGGTGTGGGATTGGATGTCAATATTGAACATAATTACGCAAAGTTCGGGGATGACTCCTGACTGTTGACCCTTGGTGATCGAATACTCAACTCGCAATTTCAAGGTACATCTTGATGAAAATTGTGTTCTAGGGGACCAAATGTCACACGTGAACACAACATAATTTCGCACACTTGCCAAGTTGGTCATCAATGAAAGTCCTCACCATCTACGTGCCAGTTACGTTCACATTTTTGTTCGTCGCCAAGTTACCCTGTCTCGCACGTCGTCTTTGCAAGTCGAAGTCAAAGAAGGATAACCACAGGAAGTCCGAAGATTTGCTCCCCCGCCCTCGTGAACGGAGCGTGACTCGTGGGTTCAAGTCTTGTGGGTGGTTGACGCGACCACCCGTCCCGCCCGTCCAAAAAAAGAAGAGTTGTTGAAATTTCCAGGATACGCTGTCAGATTCCGCTCCTGTGATGTGTGAAGTAGGTAAGATTGGGTGCACATAACACGGGTGCGTGGGTTTGAGACCCAGGCGAAAATTTGGGAGGACAAAAATAGAATATTTAGTTCCTAAAAACTCGCATCCCACGTCACATATCCCACCCGAGATGAGGACGTCGCCTGTCGCCCGTCGCCCGTCGCCAAGGCCAAGGCCAAGACCAGGGGCACGCACGAGCTACTGGTTGCGACTTACACATGAAGAGATGAAGAGCGAGAAAGCCATCGGCCATCCGCCCTCAGGTCCCGGCGGCGGCGGTGGTGACCGAACCTGGTGGCGACAAGGCCGCTGCCTGGTCCCAACACGTGGTACGTGGTATGGTGTGAGTGTAAGCGGGGAGCGAATGACTGGAATGGGTTTAGTGTCGGTGAGGTGTGACGTGAAGGAACTAGGAAGGAGCACGAGCTCGAGGTGTGCGAGGCCAGGAGGCCGGGAGGCCAGAAGCAGGAAGAGCAGGAGCACGTTCCAGAAATCAATGACGTGGCGAGTCGGTACTTTGTGTAGAACATACTGTGTCTCCACGAAACCCGAAGGGTTGCTGGGAGTTTCGGGTCAAAGGTTTACGAATTATGGTTGGCACTATCCCAATCCTTCCTGAAATTTAAAGCGTTGTGGAGTGTTCGTCCTTTGTGTTCTCCAGTATGGTTGTGGGTGTGCGCTTCGTACCTCGTCCGAGTTGGTGCCGTGTGACGTGGTTTTGTCGAGTTTCGTGCCATGGAATCTCAAAGAACCGGATAGAAAAACGTCGTATTTCGTCTCGAAATCGAATTATTTTTCGTTCTTCTTATTACTCCCCTTCTGGCGTACGTGTGGGACTTGATCATTTGGGGTACAATTACATCGTTGCAGAACGTGGCCTCACAGAAGGCAGAGAATGTCACGGAAGCAGATGGAAAAAACGCGATTCCCGAACTCTTCCCCACCCTGTTAGTAGGCGAACTTAATTATTGGCAGCATGTCCTGCGCGCAGATGAGTGGGCGGTTCCAAACGAGGGGGGGTTAGCTCGTTGTGTTGACTCCGGGCGGGACTCGGACGTTTTCAAACATTTCACCTCAACATCAACCTCACTCCGTCAATTGACAGTAACAGACGATGTGACCTATGCGATGGGCCTCTACACCGGCCCCCTTCTCTCCCCGATCCCTTCCTCTTGTCGATCGTCGATCGTGCAAAAGACATCTTTCCTCGGTTCCCCCTCCACCCCGTTTTTCCAAGGTCTAGCCGGAGCTGCTATGATGGAACCATAGGGTTGGAATCTTCAGAGGTCTTCCTGCAGAGTGGCAGTTGGCTGCGGTGTGGGTGGGGCCAGGAGTGGACTTGGTCGCGGAGAAGGTCAGCGAAAGCGGCGTTAATTGAGCGCGGATCACGACACGCCTGCACCCGACGACTTGTTCGCGTTGCTGAC